TTTTTTTTTTTTTTTTTTGTTAAATGTCACATTTACATTCGAATCTTAAGCAAAAATGAGAAAGCCTAAAGTATTGCTAGCCATTTCTGAGATACATCGATTTTTAATATTTTCTAAAAGAACCAACCAGATCGATCGCCCCTAATCTATACAATTGAGCGGAACATAACGAAATACATGAGTATACATTCTTAACTGTCTTTATCATTATTCTGCCATTTGTCTTCGGCTGTCTGTTTTCATCTAATGATCCAGGTATTTCATTTCAGGAAGTGACATGCATTCTCTTCCGTGTATTACATATTATCAGATGTAAAAAAAGAAAAAGAACAAAATCGTCGTGGAGTATGTATAATTATATTCCCCAGTGAAAATCTTTCTGGCAGCTTTCTTAAGACAATCTGCGACGTATAGATGAGGATATACACATGTATATCTTTAATTGGACGTGTATTAAAAAAATGTTTTTCGTGCCTCCTCGTCGTGTGTTGTCATCCGCAGTTCAAGATGAACTGAAATTAAAACCACGATCATCAAGCAGATTTAGATAGTTGGTGTTCACACTTGCTACCGTTTCCGATTATTTTTTAATAATCGGAACCTTCTAAAGGTGTCAGAACGTTCGCCATCGTTTCTTCATGTCCGTTCTATTGAGATCATCCGTATTTTACTTTGACTGTTAATCGACAATAACAAGATGAAAACAAATCATAATAGTAATAATACAATAATATTAATAACAACGACGATGATTAGTTGATTAGTTAGTTAATAATAGCAGTTAGTAGCTGTAGTACTGATGCTGATGGTAGTAATTAGCAACCGTAATAATAATATAACGATGGTGACGATATGACACAGTGACAATAGCGGTAGCGGCGATTAATTATACATACTGCGGTGAGACATGTGTGTGTTCATTTTTATTATATTTTTATTAATTTTTTTTTTCATTTGTTTGTTTCAATAAAGCGTTCTACTTTATCCTCTACTTTCTCCATTGACGATAGTTTCTACATCTTCATTACGGTTTTCGTTTACACTTGTTTTTTTCTTTTTTCTCGTGTTGTTTTTTGGTTTTCTGTTCATGCTTTTTTATCCTCTTAATTTACTGATTCTTCATTAGTTGGCTACGATTGAAGAAGTAGCAACGTTTCGGTTTTTAATCGAACTATATATATCCGTTAATAATCTTTTAGCGTTTCTTTAACGCAAATATACGTATACATACACGCACACATATACGCAGCCGCGTGCACACACGTACGAACGC